GTACAGTTCCCTAGCTTCTGCGCGTGACCAACATTCTTAGCTCCTGGAGTATGACCTTGGATTTAGCTGTAGTAAACTGCCTGTTGTTCAAGCTTATCATGCAATACAGATAGCTCTGTAGAAGTGACCTGGCCTTATCGTTATTTGCCACTCCACCACTTTTTGTCTCATCCACAAACTTTAATAGCAACAATTTTATGTTTCCTCCCAGATCATAGATAACAATATTGAACAGCACTTGACCAAGAACAGATCTTGATGTGCCTCCAACAGAAACACCCTCACTGGATGATGATTCTCCATCTACAATTACTTTTTGAATTTGCTCACCTCCATGGTGACAAGGCTGCATTTAGAGGACTGTTTGCTATACCTGTTTAAAAAGTAAAGCAAGAGCATAGGTACAAACATTACCACTTGGGAGGTGCCATGAATGCAACTCTTGCTCTTAAGGTAGTGCTGCAGAAATCTGCATTTTGGAGTTGCCCAAGAAAGGTTGATACCACAGTAGGGTCTTCTAATTAAATGCCTGTATCGTGACTGTGACTCAGGAAAGTGGCACTTGATAGGTTCTTGTCTCACAGAATGCTACTATGAGAGAAAGGAGAAAAATAAAACAAGAAATTTCTAATAATCTCTAATGTTTTCCATGCAATATATACAAAAATAGTGGAATCCACTTCACCTTTCATCCAAGGCACGTATTCGGTTACATCATGTCATAATGTAAAAAACTCATGGAGTACAGCTGAGACTAATTGTACCACTGCAGCCCATGAAGCTTCATATTACAGCAATCATACAGTGGATTGGCATAACATCATAGAAATGTAGGGCTGGAAATGACCTCAAGAGGTCATCTAGGTCATTTCCCTGTGATGAAGTGGATTAAGTATACACAGACCATCCCTGACAGGTGCTGTCCTCCAACGTGCTTGTAACCTTCCCATCTTGGGGCAATCTGAAAATTTTAAAAGCATACTATCCACTCCATTATCCAAGTCATTAATGAGGATGGTGAATAGTACCAGACCCAGGACAGATCCCCGCATGATACATCCTCTCAGATTAAGAGCAAACCATTGATAACTGGTCTGTGAGTACAGTCTTTCAACCAGTTTTGCACCTACCTTACAGTACTTTCACCTATGTCGTATTTCCCTAGTTTGCTTATGAGAATGTCATGCCAGAGAGTGTCAAGAGCCTTACCAAAAACAAGATATATCACATCTACTGCTTCCCCCCATTCACTAGGCCAGTAACCCTGTCAAAGAAGGAAACTAGCTGGTTTGGCATGATTTGTTCTTGACAAGTCCATGCTGACTATTCCTTATAATCCTATTATCCTCCAGGTGCTTACTAACTCGTTGCTTAATAATTTGTTCCATTATCTTTCCAGGTATCAAAGTTAAAATGACTGTTCCATAATTCATCAGGTTCTTTTTGTTCCCCTTCTTTAAAGACAGGTACTGTCTCCAGTACTGTCCCCTTCCCCAGTCCCAGATGACCTGTACCTGCTGATAGTGGGAGCGCAGAGTAAGAGCAGCAGCTTCAACAGTCCATGTGAGCATGCTCAGTACAAGCAAAGCAGCAAATCTGGGAGGGCATATGACCCTGTGTGGTACCCACCCCCCCATGTCACCTCTGCCCAGTCCTCTGGGACCTCACCCACCCTCCAGGAGTTCCCAAATATAAATGCCAACAGTTTCGAGATTGCTTCATCTACTTCCTTAAGTACCCTAGGATGAATTTCATCAGGCCCTGCCGACTTGAATACATCCAACTTATCTACATAATCTTTAGCCCATTCCCTTCCTATTTTGGCTTGCATTCCTTCCCCCTGGTTGTTAATATTAATTGTGTTGAGTATCCGGTCACCATTAACATTTTTAGTGCAGACTAAAGCAAAATAGGTTTTGGATTTGTAACAATTACTGTAGAGAGGGTCCTGCAAAAAATAAATACAAATTACCCATTTTGAAGGGTCCCTGTACATGACAAATGAAGGGAAAAGAGTCCATTTTTCTATACTACATATCACAACTTTCTCCAATAATGTAATCATGATTTGGTCTTGGCATACATTGGGTTTGTTTTTATATCAAAGTGCTTTCTTGTACTCCCATGACTTTCTGGTACTTTCATGACTCTCACTACAGCAATGACAAAACTGCAGATTTAACTGCAATTAATGTAATAGAACAGTGTCTAAATTTTAACCCAAGTTTAACATTTTACAGTTTGCCCATCTTTGGGAATAGAGGGCTATTGAAGTCAATGACAAAACTCCCTGGTTTGAATGGTGCAGGATTAAGGACAGAAAATGTTTCTTTTTCATATAAAGGGCCAGGCTCGGTAGCTGTTTCACATGCAGGAACTCTACAGTTCCACATGCAGCAGCATTGCTAGATTGGTGTTAATGTTAGTAATCTATCATCTTCACAACCTGTATGGTAGCAAGACTTTCATAGTAGCAGACTGCCTTATGTTTCAGATGGTCTCATATTGTCTAGAACCGTAATAGCAGTCATTTTCACACCAATTTGTTAAATCAGTGCAACATTAATAATGCACTAATTATCCATCCTGGAAGATGCAAAATTTATTAATGCAAATATATTCAGATGCAACATAACAGCACTGCATTGCATTCCAATGAGAAAGCTAATAATGCAGTCTATCAAGGTAATATGTAAATAAAAACCATCCTTATCTTAGGTGCTTTGATGCAGAAGGCTAACGTAACTGAAGTAGTTTAGTCTTATTTCTGAGGCAGGAACTAAATTTTTTCTGTATTTTGAAATAAAATTATTCTACTCTGTTTTATTATTCATAGCAAACAAAGCAACAGGAATATGACAAAATGTATTTTCTGCTAAGAAATGTTGCCAATGAATATTTTTCACACAGATGTAACATTTGGAACCTACTGGAGAAATCACCAGTACAAATATATTGTGTCCTGGGATAATTTTGTAACTTTAATCTTATATACAAAATCCTCCAAAAGATGCCCAGGAGGTATCTGCACTTCTGAAAATATGTGCTTCAGCCTTTTTAGGCTCTGACCTTTCACAAACAGCTTTCATCATTTACAGTGATCAAACCTGAAAACCAGAATTAGGAGCCAAGCACCAAATGCTGTGTGGCTGCAGGTATTCCCCTGTGCCTGTGTAAATCACTGCATGGATGTATTAAGGGATTATGAGCACGCATTACCAAAAATACTGCACACAAAGAATCGTCATTAGCACCCTACTAAAAATGTTGGTCATCAGCTGTAGGAAGAGACTGATGGAATCAAAGCTTCCGAATTAATTGTTCAAAGACAGGAGTTGAAGGGAGGCACCACTATTGTTATATACCTTTAGTTCCAGCGGCTGTCAAGAACGGACGAGAACCACCACACGTACCTTTCCTGTTTGAACTGTGAATTCTGGGTTAAAAGTCTAAAAGTACCAAAATTACGCACTGCTCTTTTCAGCTTTCCATCATTATCCACTTAGCCCCCTTTTTGAACAACCTCATAGGATGCACTACTGTAATGGATAGTGGCAAGACTTAATTCCTTCCTAAAGCATTTGAAAAGTGATACCTGAGTATTTTGCTGCTAATGTCAAATTGGATTCTAGTCTTTAAGATAACCAGCTGTGGCAAAGAACCTTTACACTGAGAGGTGAGCAGGCAATGTTACCCTAATCCTGTGCCTTTTCATAGGTCCAACACCTGAGCTGTGTAACACCAAAATGTTATCATACTTTTGTGATGTCAGTTACGAAAGTTCTTCATCTTGGTTGGTTAATCAGTATTTTTTCAGGGAACATATTTAAGCCTAATGGCAATGGAAGAACTGCTGTATAAAAAGAACAGTAGATCCACTTAATGGGCTTGCCTCTTAATGGGGACTACAGGCCATCCACTGGGATGTCTCGATTTACTAGATTCCATTGCACTGTCCTCTGGAATGATGCTGCAATATCAGTACAGTCACTGTCACATGTACCCTTATTCCAGGAGTGGTGTAAAAACCCATGGCAATTACTTTGTGTGTAATGAAAGGCAGAGGAATTTAAACAGATGAGTAGTCCCACTGCAGTTAATGGGAACATTTGCATGCCTAAAGTTAAGTTTATGCCTTAAGTGTTTGCAGGCACAGAGCCTGCTCCTCCCTCCTCAAAAGTTCCTGAACTGTTTGCATGGTTACCTGCAGTATATTTATTAATAATCAACATTTGATAGAGATATAACTAAATGACAACCATCACCTAGTGTCTGCCAGTCAGCAGAAGAAATATGATTTAAAATTTGCATTCTAGATCATCATATTTCATTCACCTGAAACTACAGTGTGACAGTATGTTCTATAGACTGGCAGACATTTTGTAACCAAAAAAATATTTTTTGTGTCACACAAATTTACTCAAAGGACTTTCTTATTAATTCTACATAATGTCTGTTCAGTTTACAATTCCCTGTTCATCTATACTGACACATGTTTTATCTTTTTATCCCCAACAAAGCTCCTGGTTCTGGTTTTCTTTGGGTGAGTTGAAGAAGTTATTATTAAGTAATAATTAAAAAAACCCCAAACCAAACAACCAAACAATAAACATGAAGCAGCATCAGTACCTATCCCCCATGGTCAAAAAGGAAAGATAATGAAAAAATGCAGTCCAGGATTTTAAAGCTGACATATTTCTATAAAAAAGACTATGAATTCACAGAGTGAAGGAGATGAACATTCTGTTCACCTGTAGATCCTCAATATCATTTCATATCAAGTGTGAATGACAGGTAACCTCCCTAGAGATTTATTCATTCATTTCACTTCCAGGTTATTGCACAGCCACTTTGCCATGATGCGAATTACAATTAATGCTAAGCAGCCAGGGGTTGTTTGTTAAATTATTAGAGTCAGTGAAGCTCAATGACTCATTCTATGCTATTTACAGAACCAAGGCAAGCAATTCATCACAGAACAGATGTTAATGATAGGCTACCTGAATCCCTATAGAGGACCGTCGACTCTTAAGAAACTCCTCAGCTTTTGTCACTAAAATGGCCTTGTCACTGGTTCGTACTGAAGTGATTTGACTCTCAGAAGCATGGCGCTGTGCAGCGGCAGTTTCCATGGCAAGATTCATGGCCTTGTTACTGTCCAAACTGTCTGTAGAGTTGTACATCCCTCGACCATCTTGTGGCCATGGGGAAATCCTCTGAGTCCGGCTATCATGATATGCATCCTGGGTGGATTCTGTGCTGCTCTGTGCTGTAATTGAGATGAGCGGCTTGGAAGTGGTACGTGGGGGTACCGGTGGTGGCGTTTTTTTGTAACTTGTATAAGTTACAGCTACAGAAGGAATAAAGAAAAAAAGAAATCAAGATTAATTTGTTAATGGCAATATTGTGCTTTATTGGAGAAAAATGTAAAACAGAGACTATGCTACTTAAAAACCAAAGACAATTGCAAAATAGTGTTCATCTGCAAAGCTTACTATCAGCACAAACTCTTTCTCATCCTAAGATGGGTATCCATAGCAACAGGTTTATTTTATTTCATCAGGGAAGCAAGGATTGAAAACGCTCCTCATACTAAAATAAGAACCCTTGATTACAGTGAAGATGAAAGGAGTTAGCACGGATTTGTGTGTGTGTGTGTGTGTGTGTGTGTGTCTGAGTACTGAGAGTGATGTTCAGATTTGCACCCGTTAGTGCCCATGGGTTGGTTTTGCATGGGATAAAGCTGATAACAGGAATGAGGGTTGATTTTTTCACCTTATGTAATCATTTGAACTCTGGACTCTTCACTGATTCAGTGGGGATTTAAGAAAATGACAGCAATATATTGAAACAAGAAATTCTTCGACAGACTCTTCCACTGAGCAGCAGCACATTACACTTTTGATCTTTTTAATACTAATTTTAGGTTTACTGTTGGATATAGATTTACTATCTGACAATAATATGACTACTTAAATGGGAATAAGGATTAAAATATATATGATTAAAACAAGCTACAAATATTAGTCAAGCAGGAAATTCTGTACATACAAATGTTTCTAAAATGCAAAGGCTAAGAATGACCTTTAAAACCAAAACAGACTAAAATACTTTAATCTACAGTGACATTTTATCCCTATTCTTGTAGTAAATTTTAAATGCAGTGAGAGTATATTGAAGGGTACTATTTTGAAATAGACAGAACCAGCAAAAGTACAGATCTAAAAAGTAGGATGAAATTGATGCTGAAAGAATGGGCTACACATCAGAGGGACAGTGAACTAATATCAACAGGATGAATCAGGTTTGCTTCTGGTTTGACTCTAATCCCATCACACAGTAGAGAGTTTGACAAAGCATCAGGTGCATCCAGGAGAGACTAAAAAAGGGAGAATCCCGACCAGGAGAAATCTCTTGCTTTTTGGTATTTCAGGGAACAGAAAAATAACAGTTTGCAGAGTGGTAGAAAACACTTCATTTATTTTGTGATCACTATCATACCATAAACAATCTGAATTTTTAAATCCAACCCACCTGACTCGAAAGGGGCTGCACTAGCGACAGGTCCATTCACCAGTTCGTACTGTTTTGGCAGAGGAGTGATTTGTTACTGAAATAGTTAGACCAGTACAACTCCTAGGGTGGATGCAATAGTGCCTTATAGCAGTATAACTTACTCCCCTTCCCATACAGGAATAGCTATAGCACTTTTACACTGATATACTTGTGCCCACATGAGCGGAGTTGTACTACTTTAACTATACCAATGTAGTTAGCGGCACAACTGGTGAGTGCAGATACAGCCTAATAAATCTACTATTAACAGCAAGGCTTTGCATTTTGCAGGATTTCGTAAAGGTGACCCAGGTAAGCCAGGGCCTCAGGCAAAGAGTGCCTCCCGCTGTAGAGAGGTCACATGATAAGCGAAGAACTAGGACGATCCAGTTTTTTCCAGCTAGTATGAGGTCTATGTTACAGTTAGAGAGAGGAGGGGCTGGCTAAGAAGCTGCTAGCCATTGTAACTTCTGCTGAGCAAGAATGAGAGGGTTACCACATAGGGAAAGTAGAGCCAGGAGAAAACCGCCATTCTTCCATTTTCTTTTTATCATTGGTAATCACAGATGAAATAAGAAAAAGAGTGAGTACTGGGGAAGAAAACCCTTCAGTAGGAGCCCAGTTTGAACCTACCACTTATTTAAACTGCTCCAATTCTGGTGGAAATTTGAGGAGGCTCTTGCCTTTGAGTTAAAGAAGTTTAAAGGAACAGGGTCAATAGATAGGGCCATCAGATTCAAGAGATGTCAAAGACCTCACAGACCAGACCATCAAATGTTTGAAATACAGAAGGTGTTGTGGTGTTAGTGGTGGGCTGAGTGGACATTGGTGACCAAATTCTAGACACAGGACAAACAAGTTCTTGTTTGTCACTGCACTGACTATTGCTACTTTACTTAAAGGGCACTTGTGGTGACATGTAGACATAGCAATCTTAAACTGATTATAACGAGTGGGAATGGGCAAATGACAGGTTAATGTGTAAAGTGTTTGAATAAAGAGGAAATATGTTTAAAATGTTGAATTATAAAACTGGAAAGTTCATCATTATACATCCTTACATACTATTCAGAAATCAGATTATGATTTTTCTGCCTAATTCTGCTTTTGCCTTGTCTTGCTTCCTTGACATGGAAGGGAAACTGCAAAACTGGGAAGGGGTCCTGAGTGTAAATCTGAACATGGGGCTCAAAAACATAGCTGTTCCAAGTGTGGTGCTACCATCTAGGTCTGGTGGTCATTCTTTAGTGGATTGTATGCCCAGGTAACTAGATTCTAGACAGTAAACATTAAGGTTACTGGACTGAAATGGCTGTTCAGGAATACTGAAACAACACTGAACGATCTAGAAAAACAAAACATTTATCTTTAATCAATAATTACAAATATCTTGATTTATAATTTTAATCAACTATGAATATTTTCACTTCTCCTTAAAACAATGGAATGCCTGTGTCAAGGTTCCTCCCCCACTCTGAACTCTAGGGTACAGATGTGGGGACCTGCATGAAAAAACCTCCTAAGCTTATCTTTACCAGCTTAGGTCAAAACTTCCCCAAGGTACAAAATATTCCCCCCATTGTCCTTGGACTGGCCGCTACCACCACCAAACTAATACTGGTTACTGGGCAAGAGCTGTTTGGACGCGTCTTTCCCCCCAAAATACTTCCCAAAACCCTGCACCCCACTTCCTGGACAAGGTTTGGTAAAAAGCCTCACCAATTTACCTAGGTGACTACAGACCCAGCCCCTTGAATCTTAAGAACAATGAACAATCCTCCCAACACTTGCACCCCCCCTTTCCTGGGAAATGTTGGATAAAAAGCCTCACCAATTTGCATAGGTGACCACAGACCCAAACCCTTGGATCTGAGAACAATGAAAAAGCATTCAGTTTTCTTACAAGAAGACTTTTAATAAAAAATAGAAGTAAATAGAAATAAAGAAATCCCCCCTGTAAAATCAGGATGGTAGATCTCTTACAGGGTAATTAGATTCAAAAACATAGAGAACCCCTCTAGGCAAAACCTTAAGTTACAAAAAAGATACAGACAGAAATAGTTATTCTATTCAGCACAATTCTTTTCTCAGCCATTTAAAGAAATCATAATCTAACACATACCTAGCTAGATTACTTACTAAAAGTTCTAAGACTCCATTCCTGTTCTGTCCCTGGCAAGAGCAGCATACAGACAGACACAGACCCTTTGTTTCTCTCCCTCCTCCCAGCTTTTGAAAGTATCTTGTCTCCTCATTGGTCATTTTGGTCAGGTGCCAGCAAGGTTACCTTTAGCTTCTTAACCCTTTACAGGTGAGAGGAGCTTTCCCCTGGCCAGGAGGGGTTTCAAAGGGGTTTACCCTTCCCTTTATATTTATGACAGCCTGTCTCATCAATTTCCCTTAAGCCATCCTTGTCTGTAAACACTAGGGCAACTATTCATAAAAATCAGAATAGACTATAATAAGAACAGACTTTAATAAAAGAGTTTATTTGAGAAAATGAGACTGAAGAGACAGTCCAGATTCTGAGAGTTGATGCATTTTTTTAAAGCATGGTTGTGCTGTTCCATCACCAAACTTATCTCCTATCAGATTTGTAACTACTGGTTGAGAAGACAAAACCAAATAAAAACAAAAAAAAAAAACACTTTTCAAATGCCAAGTAAGAGGGCAGCTTTTCAGAATATAGTTGTCCTCTCAGAGATGGAGATGACCACAGTATTTGGAAATTATGATAGTATCTGCAAAGCTTAAACTATAGCTCAAATTAATGATGGTGCTAGAAAAGGTAGATGCAGGTGGTCACAGTGCTGGAAAGCATTAGAAATAGGGCTACTGGGATGAAATGAAGTGGGTGAAATCCAGATAAGGAGATTAAACTAAGACAGGTTATCTGTGTTATAACTAATTTATTTTATTTCACCAGCTGTCTTCATCCCAGAGAACAGCAGTGAGCAATGAAGCATATGGTGAATGTGACAGTGAAACCTCATGGGCAAGCATAATCCTAATATACAGGCAATAGGTCCCATTTCTACCTAACAAATGTAAATATTGAACTTGTTCAACATACTTCCACTGTTAGCTTAATTTCTATCTAGCTTTTCTAAAGGTCCTCTCTTAGAAGAATTAGTGTGGTTGTTGTTTGAATATTACTTTTTGGGGGTAAGATTTAAGAGTTACTTCTGTGAACTTAATATTGCTTTTGGCGTTCTGCTGGGTGAGCTGTCTTACAGATACATTTTATGACTTATTTCTGCAAAACACTGGAAAGCATTTGCGTCATAATTTACCCCCCCTGCACCCCTAGATGTGCAATGAGAGGGAGAAACCAGGAAAGAGGTAATGATGAAAAAAGATCTAAGCACATAAGCAATCTTAATATATATTTACAGTAAGACATAGCAGCAAAAAAGTCCAATGAATTTCCAGGTTGCAGACACAGAGACAGGGTTTCCAACTTTCTAATCGCACAAAACCGAACACCCTTGCCCCGCCCCTTCTCTGAAGCCCTGCCTCGTCTCCAAGGCCCCGCCTCCCACCATCGCGCTCTCTCCACCACCCTCACTCACTTTCACTGGGCTGGGGCAGGGGGGTTGGGGTGTGGGACGGGGGTGCGGACTCCGGCTGGGGGTGCAGGCTCTCTGCTAGGGATGAGGGGTTTGGGGTTCAGGAGGGGCTGTGGGCTCCGGCTGCGGGTGTGGACTCTGGGGTGGAGCAGGGATGAGGGGTTTAGGGTGAAGGAGGGGACTCCAGTCTGGGGCAAGGGGTTGGGGTGCAGGAGAGGGTTCGGGG